AGTCTGGCCTTTGGTTCATTAAAGCAACTTTTTTCCAATTAAAATGCTTAATTTTTTGTAAGCAGGATGCCTACATTAAATGAAATTTCCTGCATGGTAAACAACCTACTTGACGTGCATCAGCGTGTTTACGGGACCATTTTCTTTCGTGCTTGCAAAAGTGATTTTTTTTAATCCTTTGGATTTATTTCATTTGATTTACTTAAAAGCCATTGATAAAAAGATTAAGAGGAGCCTAGGATTCAGAAATCCTTGGAAATAACTGTCAGTTTTATAGTTCCTTAAAGAAGCTTTAAAAACTTTACACTTAGGCAGAAATTGAATTTGCAGTTCATATGCATAAAAGATTTAATGGCATATAAATTGGGAATAATTGTTCTGTTTAAAAGGATTAAATTAAACCTAAATCAATAATAACATGTGCAGTTTCCATTTAACTGCCTACTTAAAATAAAGTGGCAAATAAATAACAGCTAAATGATTAATAGCAGTGCTTTTATTCACCTCCTCAACAGGCAAAATGGCCAGTTATTGAATATTTTATTATGAGTGCAAAGGATGTTAATTGTACTAGAAACATGCTCTAATTTTAGTAATTTTTTGATTGAATGCTCCACTAAATATGAGGCTCTTCATTAAATGGAGATTTGATTTTATTTTGCTTGAACTTGGGTACAGTGAGTACTCAGATATGGTCCATTAAAGCCTGCAAATATCATGGCGTATGCGTACGAGACCACCTCCCCTTCCTCTCTGCATCCAGGTCTCACCTAGGCATCTGAAGAGGAGACCTGGCATCTGTTGTCTGAACAGCAACAAAAGAGTTGTGCATGCATTGTCTGTGTAACCTTTCTATCAAATGGGGAGGAAGAGAAGTGTGTGTTTTGTGTGCAGATGATTACTGATGGAGCACTTCACACTCATTTTGTTCCACTGCGTTGACCTGGACCACGAAACCTAATTGAGCTTCTTAGCACACAAGCTCAGCACAATGGGGTTCTTCAGTATCAATGTTCTATTTCAAACATTAGATTTGTTTCTGTGAAGTATTACAGCCTCCCGGGCTCATGATTTTGCAAAACATTTGTTTCGACATAGAGTTTCCATCTAGAAAGGGGACGGAGGGAATACTTGGAGACCGTCATTGCAGGTGTAAATGGGGCAGTGTAATTAAAGCTCTTAGAAAAGCCGCATTTTCAGATTCAGATTTCTTCGGGATCCATTATTAGAGTTTCTCTTCCCACGTTTGGTTCAGAAACATTCTTCTCAATCAAAGCAATTTTTTTTTTTTTTTTTTCCTGATTTGTTCCCAAAGCCCTTGTATTGCTTGGGTTCCACTTAAGATACCAGTCCTTCTGCAATGTGTGATATACCTCTAGGGGCATTTAAGAACGGCGATCTGTTGAGACCAGAAATTACAGTTCTTTTTTCTTTCTTTTTAATTTTATTTATTTATTTGACAGAGAGAGATCACAAGTAGGCAGAGAGGCAGGCAGAGAGAGAGAGGAAGGGAAGCAGGCTCCCTGCTGAGCAGAGAGCCTGATGTGGGGCTCGATCCCAGGACCCTGAGACCATGACCTGAGCCGAAGGCAGAGGCTTAACCCACAGAGCCACCCAGGTGCCCCAGAAATTACAGTTCTTTCTGAAGATCTAAAGTCCTTTAATTCTCCCAGTTTTATCTTCCTCATCAGCACTCAGCAGGTTCTTAAAATATTTCATCGTGTGGCTGAAATTTCTTAGTCCCATTTCCTAAACTATAGTTCAAACAGGTCATCCACAGGTGCCTAAGGCATGGTAACAAAAATCGGATTTTTGAAGATAAAGCTTAGTTCCTTCAAGCCACAAAGGTGCCCCCGAGTGCATCACAACACAGCTCCGTGCCCTGGAAATAACTTGAGCCCCAGGGAGAGAAGAATCCCTTGAGATCCACCCATAGGAAGCACAATGCACGACACAACACGCTTTGTGTCATGGTGACTGAATGCAACACAGGGCAAAGAATGGCCACGGAGCTCGAGGGCAGAGGTGGTCCTAGCAAGCCAGCCCTCACGGGGTACTTACTCTGTGTCACGGATGTGTAAGCATTCGTATGTATTCACTCACTTAATCCTCTCAACAGCACCCTGAGATAGGTACTGTTATCTCATTTCACTGACATGCAAGCTAAGGCACAGAGAAGTTAATGAATTGCACCTGTTCACATGGTAACTCAATCCCAGGACCCCGGGATCATGACCTGAGCTGAAGGTCAGGCAGCCGAGCCACCCAAACGCTCCTGGATACTCACTTTCAAAGAGTACCAACCCCTGCTTTAAGGAGTGCAAAGAAGGCGGCTAGCTATCCTAAAACTTCACAAAAAAACAAGCAAACAAAATGCCTCTGTAGATAATCCCTTCCAAAAACTCATCACCTGGGCTCTCCAGAAGTATTTAGATCTTACTAACATCTTTGCTCTCTAATTATTTTTGCTCAAAGCCAGACTCTCAAGTTAACATAGGTAAGCCAAATTCCTTCACAGAGTTTACAGAGTCCTTCAGGATCTTACCTCTGCTTCCCCGTGAGCTCTCCTCAACCCTCCTTTTATCCGTTCAGAATCTGTTCTTTTAAAAGCATCACATTCTGGGGTGCCTGGGTGGCTCAGTGGGTTAAGCCTCTGCCTTCGGGTCCTGGGATCGAGCCCCGCATCGGGCTCTCTGCTCAGCAGGGAGCCTGCTTCCCCATCTCTCTCTGCCTGCCTCTCTGCCTACTTGTGATCTCTGTCAAATAAATAAATCTTTAAAAAAATTTCATATCTTTACTTACTCAAAGATGGAATCAAGGTACCCCTTAATCTGTTCTTTCCCACCTAAACAATCACGCTTATGTTTAACTCATCACACGATAGGCCCAAAAATCATTCACTAATTTGCAAGCTTTTCTGCATGTGTAGATTCTATTTGACTACTATTGGGTTTTTAAAAATTGATATCTGATACTACATTTGTGTTGACTCAAGTAATTTTAGAGGCTCAGTTATTTGAGAAACACTCATTAACTCCTCTGTCCAGAGCACAGGCTTGAGTACTCAGGTAGAGATTAGGGAAGGAAGGAAGACTCAGACCCTGCCGCCCAGAACTGTAACTGGGTGAAGAGCCAAAGTTAGCATAGTGAAAGGCAAAATTAGCACAAATACAGAATGTTAAGGTACATTGTCTCATTCTGATGTTTATGCAATCCTGAGAAGTAACCAGAATATAATTGCTACTTACGGACAAGAAAAACTGGCTCAGAGATGGCATAATTTTATGCACAGATAATAACAGACCCAGAACTTGAGCCCAGGTCTGTCCAGTCCCAAGTCCAGACTGTGCCCTGTTGGACCACTCCACGTCCCACTCTATGCCCAATGAGACCTAGAGAGCAAAAGCTCTCTAGACAAGGCTAAAACACAGTATGAGTTCATAAGACATCACACAGGAGAAACCTCCTCCTCAAAAAACCCAGAGGCAGGTAACCCATGATGCTTAGGACATGGGGTGAGTTGCATAATTTGATATCTAACTTCCCAACAAATGTGCACCATCTCCATTCAGGCATTTTGATGGAAGAGAATATCATTTTTCTTCCCTTGGTGGAGAAAGCAGAGCAGCCTACTCCAAGAAGTCCTTCATCTTTTCTTTTCTTTTTTTTTTTTTTTTAGATTTTACTTATTTATTTGTCAGAGAGAGAAAGCATACACAAGCAGGGGTGTCGGCAGAGGGAGAGGGAGAAGCAGGCTCCCCACTGAGCAAGGAGACCCACATGGGACTCGATCCAAGAACTCTGGGATCATGACCTGAGCCGAAAACAGATACTTAACTGACCGAGCCACCCAGGTGTCCCAAGAAGTTCTCCATCTTAATTCAAAATGACAGTTTAGCAAGACACAGGAGTTTTGTCTTCTCACTCTAATTTTTGCTTTACCTCAAATCAAAAGATATCCAGGGCCACATTAAGAGAAGTAAATCAGTAGCCGGGGCACCATTCGCTTGTTTACCCAGCATAAAATTATGTCCTCTGTAAACGGGAATATCAAGTAGCATAAAAAGCCTAGGTGATTTACATTTTCTTTTTGATTAGAGGATTGCATCTACTATACTCAAGGAAGGAAAATCTCTCCCATTTAGCTTCTGAAGATGAAAGGGGCCATTAAACATGCCATATTACCAGCATTTTTTTTTTCTTTTTTAAGACCAGGAGGTGCTTTACAAATTGAGACTGTCATGAGGAAAAGGGAAGACTTTACTCGGGATCATATGCCCTGATTAGGGACTAGCCCGCGTCCCTGTGGTGAGACCATATGTTTAACCTTTTGCTGAAGTAGGGCCGTCCTACAGCCAACCTGTGTTCTGTTTTGTGTGCATCCATGTGACAAACCCACAGAATACAAACTAAGAACTAAGAACTTTTCTGTGAGCCACCGTCTGATTCTAAACATTGGGGTTCAGTATATGCATTGAAATCTACAAAGACAAGATGAGAAGCAAAATACTTTAAAGGAGGATGAACCTGGGTAGGAATTCAGTTAAGATCAATCTTGCTTCCCCTCACAGGTGGGGCAGACGGAGGAAACGCTCATCCAGGCAATAACGGCATTTTCTTCCCAGATAAGTACCCAAATGTATGCATCACTGGCCAAAATGAGAAATCAGGTTTATCTTCGCTAGTTGAAGTGTTCAAGGTGTGCGTAAGTCATAGCTCCCCTTGAACCACAGCGATTCACTGGCGTGTGATTTTCAGAGGTTTTCAGGCATTCATAAATGAACTATCCCCCATTTTTATTCCCTAATTTAATGAACGAATAATTAAAACCTTTTTGCCCTTATGTGTACTCCATAAACCTAATTTGAGCCTCAGTTATGTCTTCGATATGTAGGTAATAAAAGGAAAGTTATAGGAGAAAGATTCAACTAAGATAATTAAACATAACGCACAAATTCATTTTAATTAAGGACTTGACATTTCCTTTCTGCTTTGCGCAGCCAACAACCAGTAGAAGACAAATATTCAGACCTCCGATATGACCCGAACTGGAAGAGTAAGAAAGAGGAGAGGAAGTTGTTGACTATGGATGCATTGCCACAGTCTGTAGACAGCTCTTCCGAAAATCTGAATCCGGATCCCCTGTACCCTTCCAAGGAGACGTCGATGGAACTCTCCGGGGAGAAAGGTGAACCCAAGAGTAGCCCCCAGAGTGTTGCCTCCTTACTTGGCAGTGAATTTTTAAGCCCAAACTATGAGCGGGGTGCCCACTGCCGCCAGCCATTTTCGGAGCTGAGCGACAGTGACCTGGTGGAGAAGTCCAGCAACCTCTCTCGTTGCTTGAAGAGTTCAAGTTCACATCATGAGGTTTTCCTGCCAGGATCACGTGGCCGTCGGCGAAGGAAGTCCAAACAATATTTCGTGGAGAAAAACAAGCTGACTTTGGGATTACCTACTCCTAAAACGGATTCTTATCTTCAACTTCACAATAAAAAAAGGGGGGACATTCTCCCGGAACAGGTATGTAAGTGCTACTTATTAATCTCCTCCAAGCACTACTGGCCTGGAATGTGCCTTTGTTTGCAATGGCTGGAGATCATTTCCTTTGAGACGGTGATGTCATTCTAACCATGCGGCTGAGTAAAACAAATGCCCTATCCCTTGCTCCTCTTTGAAGAATCAGGGGAATTATTCCATAATTTTTTTTTCAAGATTTATTTGACAGAGAGAGAGAGCAAGAGTGCAAGTAGGCAGAGCTGCAGGCAGAAGGAGAGGGAGAAGCAGGGTTCCCACCGGGTTGGATCCCAGGACCCTGGGATCATGACCTGAGCAGAAGGCAGATGCTTAACAGACTGAGCCACCCAGGTGCCCCTCATTCCACTAATTCTTAAGAGCAAAATCAAAGCCATCAATGGCTTACAGTGCTGTAATTCAATTAATATATCCAAAACATTTCCATTCAGGGAACCATGGATTTTTTTTTTTTAATTGCATACTCCATTAGATAAAATCAGGACTGGAGGTTTGACTCCCTGTGTTGGTTGCCTTTCTTTCTACTACAACCACTGGCTTTCAACTCTATTAAATGTCCCAATGCGTTGGAGGTGACATGACACACTCATGTCAGTAACAGCAACACGCACACAAGTGATTCTCAACTTCGATTTTTATATACATTTTGGGCAGTGGTAGGACGGCGGCAGGCTATAGCATGTGATGGTTTGGTTTGGGGGCTTTTAAGATTGATTTATTTGAGAGAGCTCATGCAAGAGAGAGACGGAAAGCACGAGAGCACGGACGCAGGAGTCGAGGGTAGGGCAGAAGGAGAGGGAGAAGCAGACTCCCCCATGAAGCAGTGAGCCCAATGTGGGGCTTGATCCCAGGACCCCAAGATCATGATCTGAGCCAAAGGCAGATGCCTAACCAACTGAGCCACCCAGGCACCCCTTGGTTTTTCTTTTTAATTATCCAGATGATTCTACTACCTTTCCAACCACAACTGATAATCACTACACCGTCCTTTATTCTGTGCAAATGATATAATTAAACTTTAGTCTCTCCATCTATAAAATCAGAACAGTAAGTGCCCTCCCTTTCTCATCTGATCATTTCAAGAGCGAATTCTATCCTGGATGATGGATTCAAATCTATTGGAGTCAGTAGCCTTAACTCTATTTGCTGGGCACTCGGATCCTATCAGACCAACTCCTAGTGGACATGTCCATGGACATAAGAAAAGAATGGCTAGATCAGTATATCCACCATGCTTCTTGGGAGGATCAGCTTGAAATTCATTACCTACTGTGAGGTCATTTTCAAATATGAAGGAAAGGTTATTACATTACATGGGGATGCCCTTAGACCTATTCCAAAGTCAAACTGGTATTATTTAAAATGCTCTAACCTGTTCTAACCTGTAAGTATTTTTTGATAGAACATGAAAAGGAGGTAGATGAACATTTGTGATTTTCTCTTAATTCAGAAACTCCCTTTATAGTCTTAAAGGATTATGGTAACATCCTTGCCTTTATAACTGATAATAAAACAGAGGAATGGATATAGCATATTCAGCTGTATTCTCAAAACAGTTGGCTGAATGCAAAAGAATTATCAACAATCTGTCCCAATTTTAGATGTTAATGTACCTTTCATAAAATATATGAAATTTTGAATTTTGCTTGGTTGCTCCTTTAAAAATATAAATTCTACAGTCCATTATCTGTGAGAAGTATTTATAACCAGTAATTTCTCCCAGACTAGAACAATATTTTTCATTTATTTTTAAATGTTCTCAAAAGAAGCCAGTCTAGAAGGAGAGACAAATAGGCCAAAAGAAAGTTATAATAGAAGTGAAAATAGCTTTATTATAAACTCTTTAATTGCTGATTTCTTAATTGCTAATTTTTCTTAGTAGTTATAACTTCATTTACAAACAATATTGGGGTGAGCTGACTTACAGTGATTCCATAGCACAATTTCTTGTTAGGGAGTGAGAAAACTTTAAAGCATTTTTAGCTTGCTCAATCTTTAAGCTCATAAATTAGTCTTTGAAGTGGCCGTTGACCTTGTCTACCACTTTCTCCAGGTTCAAATGTCCGAGGGCCGATTGCTAATTATATTCAAAACGGTTTCTTCACCATTTTCCAACATACATTTCCTTCCTCTTACTCCTCTTCTTTTAAAAAGGATAGAAATTAGTTTGACTTAACAGTGATAGGATATGTGTAACTGTTTTTATTGAATTATAGTCAATAGCATTGAACAATATGTTCCTTTAGAGTCATTATTTACATATGACATATGTACAGGTCTTTCTGTCCCTACAGATTATAGGTTTCCTTATGGGCAAGAACTTGATTGATTTGTAGCTATTTTTAATCTTCATGGTAACTAGCCTAACATAATGTAAGGTCTCAGTAAATAGACGGGGAATGAAAAATGGACCTCTTATATCACCTCCAGACTTACTCTCTTCCGTACAAATTTTATGTGAAGGGAAAATGGTATTTTCTAGAGCAGTGGTTTGAAAACCTGGCTGGATATTAGATTCACCTGAGAAACTAATTTTAAAAAGTGATTCTTGGCTTCACGTAGACCAACTGACATCTTTGGGTAAGACGCTGAGCGCCAGTATTTTTGTTTCAAAGATCTTCAAGTGATTCTAACGTGTAGCCAGGTTTGAGATGCACTTTTCCAGACTAGAGCAGTGGTTCTCATCCTTGGCTTCATGGTGGAATCATCTGGAAAATTAAAAGAATACGGATTCCTTGGCCTGCTGAAGCCCTGAATTTCTGAATTAATCTGGGGTGCACTGTCAGCATGGGGATTTTTTTCAAAGCTCCCCAAGTGATTCTAATGCTTAGCCAAGATTGAGAACCATTGCTTTACATCAGGGATTCTCAAACATTAGTTGAATCAGGATCAACTGGAGGGCTTGTTTAAACAGACTGCTGGACCTAACTTAGGGGCTTCTGATTCAGTAGGTACAGGGTGGGACCCAAGAATTTTAATTTCCTACACAGTTCTGGGTGATGCCACTTCTGCTGCTCTGATGTCACTGAGAATCACTGATCTCTTTTCCCCCTCAAACTTGAAGGCATTTATGAACCACCCAGAATCTTGTTAACATACAGATTTTAATCCAGTAGGTCTGGGGTGAGACTTAGGCGTGTGGATTTCTAACAAGTGCCCAGGTGATGTCAAGGCTGCTGGTCCATGGACTGCACATAAAATACATTCAGGGTTTTCCAGAAACCGGAAGTCATAGTTGTGTAAGTCAGTAGCCATAGAGCACTGAGGTGTTCAATGGATGGTAGGATTATTCTGCCGATTTGCGAGCAGGAGGTAGAATCTGAGGTGACAGGTTTGGAGGATATGGTTTTAGATTAAGCAGCATCTATCTGGAAAGTTTTCATATTTGAAAAGCTATTTTCTCCTCTTAACTTCTTTGAAAGAGATGAGCAATGTCTTACAACCAGAAATACTGAGAGAATAAATGACATCTGTCCCAAATGAATGACTAAATGTCAGTTACCGTTACACAGTGAAGAAAAGCAGTTTTTTGTTTTTTGGTTTTTTTTTTTGAAAAGCAGCTTTTTAATACATCATTTTGTCACAAGTATTTAGGCCCAGTTGAATTCCACATGGCCTTAAATTGTGTATTGGCTTTGGGAAGATCTGAAAGTACATCTAAGAAGCTTATGACATCCCCAAAAAATGTCAACAGTTTTTTTTTTTTAATAGAACTCAAAAAGCTGAATAAGTTCAGATGAAAAATTAAAGCAGGGATAATAAAGAAAGCTCCGGACATTAAGAATCATGAGAGAATTTAGCACTACCAGAGAGTGTATTTTAAATCCTCAATAATTAAATACTAGGATGATATTTGATGCATATATAGACAAAAGTGGAACAACAGAGTAGAAACTGCAGAAACAGAACAAAACTACATATGAGAATATAGGAGATGATACTATGATTTGATAAGGCAGTATCTCAAATCATTGAGGAAATGGTGCATTGTTCAATAAAACAACTGGGTAGCCATCTGGGAGAAAATGAAGTCAGATCCATAACTCATATCATACAACAAGATAAATTCCAAATGGACCAAATATTTAATTTAAAAAAATTAAACCACAAAAATACTAGGGGAAAAAAAAGCAGCACATTCTCCCATGACCTCAAAATGGTTGAAAATCCAAAATCTACAAAAGATTGATAAATCTGACTACATAAATACAAAATACTTCTATAGGAAAAAGCATGAGAGTCAAAATACAAAGAACAAAAATATTTCTAAATCGTATCACAGATGAAACTCTAATATTGCTAATATATAAACAGCTTCTAGAAATCAAGACTAAAAATCCCAATACAAAAATAAAGACCAAAGGTCAATAGAAAATTTACAGAAAAGTTAAGTCATATATCTATGAAATACATGAAAAGATACCCAACCTCAGCCATTAGAAGAGAAATGTAAGTCAATACTACATTGGGATTCTATTTTTCACCTATAATTAAACCAACAAAATTCCAAATGTTTGAGGAAACTGTAGGCAAAAAAGTACAACATCAGGGTGGTAAGATAAAAAATTGGTATAACCGGTGTGGAGGATAATTTGTTAATATCCCTTTAAAATACAAATACATATACTCCTTGAAAAAGTAAAACCTAATGGAAGAGAATAGACTTCAGAGCCAAGGTTTTTGGCACTGCCACCTGCTCTCTGACCTTGGGCAGGTTGCTTAACCCCTATGTGCCTCAGTTTCCTCATTCTTTAAAAAAATATATAGATGTATGTATATATTCATACATATATATATAACAGTACCTTCCTCACAGGATTGTTAAGAAGGTTAAATACATAGGTTAATATATGTAGTGTGGTTAGATCAATGTCGGCCTTATAGCCAACACTATATAATTGTTAGCAAAGATTATTTTTATTTGACCCAATACATCACATTCCTAGGAATTTTTCCTAGTTATATATGTGCAGTTTTGAAATAACTCC